GAAAGCAGGCCTCCTAAAAAGAAGAATGTGTGTCCAGCACCCAAGTAAGCCCTGAATCAGCTTCCGTGTGACATGACCCTTGTGAAGGATGACTGCAGTCAAAAAAACTCAGCAGAACAATCCTGCTTCTTGGAGCCGACACTCTTCCGCGATGGCCGTCGATCTCCGCCCCCAGAACCACCGTGGAGGAGACACGCCTTTGTCGTTTCCCGGGATGGGCTGTCAAGCCTACGTCCAAATATGCCTTGCCTGCTCGTTCGAACACCTCGACGTCCCGAGCGAACGAAGCGGTGCAGGGTCCACCAAGAGGCACTTTCTGGAGCCCTATGTGATCATCAATCGTAAGAAGTTCATAGAATGGCCCTCTGGGTATTGCAGTGCGGTACTGTAAACTCTCCTCCAACAACATGCAACCTGCCTTCACCTGTAAAAGGTTCGTGTGACTCTGCTGGGCGATTTCCACCGCCAAAGCATCACCCATTGCAAGTGTCCCAAGGCATATGTAAACATGTCCAGTGTGCTGAGAAGGATCGTAACACTGCAAATGAGAAACCTCCGAATGATGGAACTTCACTCCAATTGCATTCCTCTGTGCGCGTTTCGTGGAAACACGAAAAGTGTAGTAGAACTCGCATAGGTCGTCCGACGAGATCAACAGCTGCTCACTAGGGGACAGGGCAATCATGGTGATCAAGTAGCCAGGAGCGATAGTTTTCGTGAACCGTGAATACCCATAGGACCGGGAATTTACAACAGTAGGGTTCAAGATCTATCTATCATATTCTTCATCTTTGGCCACAGCAAACAAACCAACTGCCTCATCGTCCCGGACAGACTCTGTGCTCACCAGTCGGCATGCACCCAAAGCGTCCCACTTTCCGGCCAAAGCCAGTACTTCCGAACGAGCTGCATGAACTTTTGCACGACCGAGCCGAGGCCAAGTGTGTTCAGGCTTCCGCAAAAAATCAGGATCTTCATATGCCTTCTTGACTACAGGGTCCGTCAAGTAGGGCCTGGGGTCGAAGCTAGGAGCCAATTTCCATTTGATCCTTGAAGCAACAACTGGTTTGGCAGAACAAGCATTTGGCGAGACCCTGACTTGCTCTTGAACGGAGCCACCCCCGGAGTTCTCAGCAGGCTCATCCACGCACGTGCTGGCAGACCCACTGTGCTGACCAGTGGAACGCTTTTGACTGGAGTAACCATCGAAAGCAACTCGGATTGATTCTAAAAAACTAGAGATATCCCCAAAATCCAAAACATCAGAGGCTGAGGGGAGAGAAAAAACGCATGCACTAAGATTTCTCAATTTCTCACTGGCCCTGCCAAGACTATCTTGGGTGAGCTCACCACACAAAAGATAATAGTCTACTAAGTCCTCGAGCCTCTCAAGCAGCTCATGCTGACCAGCCGAAAGCGGATAGCCCAGCCGGCCATGATCAGGAGGCGATCGACACTGCCCCAGCGCTAACCAGTTCAAAACAATCACCAACTGCTGCAGACAAAGGGCTCGGACTCTGAAGAACCGCTGGCGCTTCCTGCGCCGAGGAGAAAGTGAGTGGGCGTCTGTCCAACATCCTCCCGAAGGAGGGGGACAAGGCCACAAATCGCTGCGCCTCGGAGGCTCAGCCGGAACGGTGCGGAGTTTCTGCAGGCTTCTGTTCACGAAATGCCCCAACCCCGTAGAGGAGCCTAGAGCCTGCCCAAGAACAGCTGCCACCAGAGAGGTGCACTGAATTGGCAAAACTGGAAAGGTGGTGCCAGGTGCTGCCTTCTTCAAATTGTCATCAAGCAGCCCCCAACCGCCTCTCCTTGGATCTTTCGACTCGACGGAGGGCTTTGACTCCTGCGCCCTTGCTCCAGTGGAAATGCCGGCATGTCTCCTAGAACCCCCCCCCCGACCGTGCATGGCAGGAGGGAGCCAATCCCACTGCCCTGAGGAGGTAGAACTCGGCAAAGGGGAGGGCCCAGGGAGTCCCGGCGGAGCAGGCACGTCTGTCAGGTTTGGCTGGCATCGGAGCCCGCCCCCGCTGCTGCCTTCTTCTTCTTGGGGCGCCATGGCTTCTTCGGACCTTCCTCCGCGGCCTCGGCATTGGTCGTGGGCTTGGGACCTGTATTGGCTGAACGAATCTTTGTTTCCAAAAAATCCAAGTCCTTCATGAATGCCACGTTTGCTCCTATCCAGGAGGGAGAGGCCAGGCGACTGAATGGAGTCAGGCTTGATCTTTGCCGATTCCTTTGGACCACATGGTACTGAGGTTCCGGGAGTGTCGTCAACAGCCAACTCAGATTGGTGCGGCCGCAGTCTATTGCCGTTTGGTCGGTGAAGACCAGACCTCGACAAGCCACCCCCATCAGCTCCGGGTTGTTCAGCTTGTAGCCCGTCTCCCAAGCCCAAGCCCAAAGATATGCGTTTTGGATCAACGCCCGGTTGTCGCCTAGGGGCGATCGCTTCTCGATGTACTCGCGCATGAGCCCTGGGCCAATCTGGTGGACCTCCAGGCCCAGCTCTGAGGCCGCATTGGCCGTGACCGTCTGCGCATATTTTGGAAGGTCCAACATCAACTTCAGAAAGGCCTCCCGAGCTAAGCAGCCTTTGACACCTGAGCTGCCCGCACTTGGCGCGTCGGTGGATCCACCCAGAGCAGCAGTGATGGGGTCCTGAGATTTGGCAGTTTGCTGTTTGGCCATGAGAGCCATTTGCTGCATCTGTAGCAGCAGCAGCCTCTGCAAGGGATCGACAACAGACCAGATCCTTCAGCCCACTCTCGATCTCTCCGTCCTCCACTGCCTCCAGGCCCACCTCGCTTTGCAGAGCGTTCAGATTGGTCTCTGGCATCCCTTCTCGCAAGGCCCGTTCGTGCGCGGCGAGCCTCATAGGAGCTGCGCCCGCCGCCGCTCGGAGCCGACTGATGACATCGTTGACCGGAGCCTCCGAAGGGATGGTCTGAGTGCCCCCGAAGAGTACACCTCGAGCTGGAGAACTTTTGGCGGAGGCTTTCGAGACGGGTCGAAGCACTGCGCCCCCCGGAGAACCAGGGGATTGCAACATCTGCTCGAGCTCGTGGATGCGGCGCTGCATGGCCTCGAGATCGACCCCCTCTGTACCAGAAGCTGGAAGGAGCTCTGGCTCGTGGGCCTCCAGAGCATCGGACTCTCCCGTGACATAATCGCCTGCAGTATCGTCGTCCATCACTTCGTGAATCCACTGATCTGCACAGGCGATGGCCTCGGCTCTCCGAGGGCGACCAACGGTGTCTCCAACCATGAACTTGTGCACTTCGACAGATGCTGTGCGCAGAGAATGGGCTCGAATGAAGAGAGGTGCCAAGTCCCAGACCAAATCGGCCAGGAGACAACTTTCTGCCCCCAATCTTCTGCCACGAGAGGTCTCCATCTCGGTTGAAGCCTCGTAGAGGGCATAGGGTTCGATGCCGGCTGCAGCTTCCTGCCCCTCCAAAAAATCTGCCACTGCGGACAAGGCGGGGAAGATCACCATAAAGCCGCCCGAGCGAATCTTCACCAAATGACATGCCACACGCTGCCCAGTTCCATCCTCCCGCGCGGGGAGCACCAGGAAAAGCCCTGGCAAAGGCCCTGTGGGAGTCTGGGCGTTCCACAAGGCCCTGATGTTCTCTTCGTTCATGCCCCCCCGCTGGAGCGGAGGCGGCCATTCCTGCCGGGCTCCAAAGCAGATAGGCGTCCGCCTCTGCCCTCGATGGAAATCCGTGACTCACCGAGTGAGGATGCAGGTTCGTGTTGGGTTCACGGACCTGACGAGCAAATGTGTGGAAATCCTCGGTCCAGCCAGTTTGCCCCCCAGGGGCTGGTTGCAGCACCAAATAAACCTTAGTAGGCAGAGTCACTGCGGAGGTCGAACCAGGATGTGAGTACCCAGTGTCCAGCTTCTGGCGAGCTTGAATGCCGGCTCGCAGCGCCCGTCCGAGGCGGGCCAGAGGTGTCCACCCGTTGCTGGTGGTCCGGATGCGACTCAGCAAATGTCGCACGGGGCTCAGGTCCAGCTGAAGGATGGCCTCCGGTGTCACTGCTGCAACCAATGCTGCTTCCCAATCCTCAGTCCAAGGAGCAGGAGAAGTAGGCGTCACCAACTCCCAAGTCTCACTCTGTGCACTGCCGCGCCCGGCCTGTGTGGCTGAGTGCGAGGCTCCGGAGGAGCCGGCAAGGGCACCAGAGGGAGCTGGGGACTCACGAATGACTTCACTCGAAGGAGGTAGGTCCGGCTGGTCAGTGCGCTTGGAGATTCGGATGGTCAGGTCACCCAACTGGACGCTGAGTTCCTCCACCTCCTCGTTCTTCATGCACTGTCCAACCTGTATTGCCCGAGACGCCGCCGAAGCGCCAATCCAGCGCCAACCGGCTCTGTTTGCACCAGCAGCGATGCGCAGCCTGCCGCAGCCCACCCCAGGCCTTTACGGCACTGCTGAGACACAAGAAGCAGCGCTGCACAGGCTCCTATGATGCAACCAAGCCAGCAACAAAGGATGGCTACCAAGGCCAAGGATGCGAAGCTGAAGCCCGTGCAAGTCGAAGGCACAGGCCACAGCCAACGGACCTCCCGAAGGACCTCGAGCGCGGCCCCGAAGGACATCCACCGCGGCTCGAGCCGAAAGAGACTTGAGCGGTCCTTGCTTGTCAGAACAGGGATAGAAAGCATATATATATATATACAATAATATACAAGTAGTAGATTAAAAGAACATTACTGATATTATATGTTGAATACGGTGGCACTGGAACTCCTGAAGAATATGAGGTGTTGTCTTTGTCTGTTCCAAGTGGTGCTTTGGACTATTGATGCCTTTGAACCATGGGTTCTTTGTCGAGAGCTTTCATATTGGTGATCATTGTTCTATCAAGAAAGGACAAGAAAGGCAACATTGTTGAAGAGACTCGCAACATTTGCGTGATGGAAAACAAGCTTGTGTACAATCCTCCAGGGAGGGCTGGATATCACGACACAAGTGATTTGGCCGAGTTGCGTGATACTACACACTGATACTCGCTTAGATGCCCATACCTATGAGTTTTCAGAGGCACGGCCAATTGAATGTCAGCATTATTGCTTGCGTAGCCATAAGTCTCATTGCGCAAACAAGTTGATGTTGTACAATGAGCAACCAAAGTATGAAGTGCAACATCTTGTGGCTCACCAGTCGACCGAAGGCTTGGTCTGGTAGTGGACCTGGCAGCGCACACTGGAACACCGGAAACCCTCGTTTCCAACCTGCTGTGGGCCTGCTGCAAAGTGGCCCTTTGTCGTGGCATGGCCATCAGCAGGACTGTAACTTGAATGGTCTCCTCTAGCAAAAGTATGAACGTCACAGTAGGGGCGTGAAATTCCTGATAAAAGATTGGAAGCCCTAGACCTTGAGGAATGGATAGCCCTTTTCGGCAGGGCCGCGGAACACTGTCACCTGCATGTGGCCAAACAACGAACTTGTGAACAGTCAAAGTAATCCTGCCAGTGTCAGCAGATGTCATTAAAGTAGGATTCATTTCAAAATGTACTACTGCTTTCCACTCTCTTGCAAAGCCTCATTGAAGCGTGCTACAAACGGGGTGGCCTCAGGGTCAGAGTTATAAGTTGGATTCGACTCGCACTGGTTTTGGACATGGTTGCACTCTTGGGTCTGAACCTGGTCTGTCATGTAGTCTCGTAGCTGGGTGTTTGGCTGATTGTCTTTCTGACCACAAAACAACAAGAATTGAAGGCAAAACTTGGAAGATGCACTGACCAATATCAGAAGCCACTTAGCGTATGGTTTCGCACTGCCAACATTTTTTACATGGACATGTCTCAGTCCTGGTTGAACTGTCGACACCTTGGCATCACAATGCATCCCTCAGAACTTGATAAGTTCATGCTCCCTGTTTGCTTTGCACTTGAAGGACGCAACAGATCAGGAAAGCTCAGTAAGCCTCAGGCGACCTTTTGATGTGGTCCAGAAATCTTCCCACGTCGGACCTAAGGAGCCTTGGCTGTCGAAACGTCTGGGCGGCTCAACCTTTGGAATTTACACTTTGGATGTCCTCGCTTGCTTGCTTGGTTACTTGGTTGCTTCTCTGCTTCCCTGTTCCTGCTTCCTTCCTTCCTTCCTCCCCTCCCCTCCCCCCCCCCCCCCCCCCCCCCCTCCCCTCTTCCTTTCCTTTCCTTTCCTTTCCTTTCTTTCCTTGGTGTACTTCCTGTAGTTCATGTCCTTTCCTTTTTTTTCCATTCCTTTGCTCTCCGGCGCTTCACTCATGCGCTCTTGCTTCCTGGCTTGTGTCCGTGCTAATTAGTGTTCCATGTTCCTTCCTTGTGTCCTTGCAGAAAAGCCAAAGTATAGAAAAACAGTAAAGCTAAAAGCAGGATAGCTGGAGATAAAAGCAATAAAGGCATATATATATATATAGTATAATCTAAATATATATATATATTATTTGTGATTGGCACAAAGGTAGCAACAAAAGATCCTCCTCCCCTCGCACAGCCGCGCGCGTTTTCCACTCACAGCTCACCTGAAGGTTGGTACGAACGGTCGGGCGCCTCGCCCTGCAGTGTCCTCACTGCTTCTATGGCTCAGGTCACGGGTGACCCACCCTACACCAATTTTGCGGCCTCGCACACTCGTGGCTTCGGACGTGAACACACCTGAGTGGGTCAAGACTGGTTCCTCAGTGACCGAAAGGTTCGAAATTCACACTCATCAAAAATTCTATCAATCTTTTTCTTTGGTTGTGCGTCGATCATCCTTCTTGCTGCTGGTCTCCCATTAGAGGGATCCCGGACTCAAGCCACATAAGGCGTGTTCTGCTGTCAGCTCGCTCTTTCAGCACTTGCAGTTCGTCATTTAGTTGATACACGCCTCGTTGCAAAGTGTATCGGAGGAAAGTTCCTTGCATCACCTTAGTTAGTGCATCAGCGAGCTGAGCTCCTGTATGAACCCATCTTAATTGAATGCCTTCGGATAGCAAATCTTTTATTGCCTTTGCTTGAAGTTGTGTACAGAATTCCTGGCAATTTGGTTGAGCAGTTCGGGTAACCAAATCATACAAAGATTTGCAATCTGTGACAGCTACTGATCGTGGCAAACACTGGGCTAAGGCTGTGGTAGATTGGATTGGTTTGGGTTCACTCTTAAAAACCTCATGTGGTCGTTTCCAATTGACTTGGGGATTTTGGATCCATGCCCAATAGAGTCTCATCCAGGATAGCTGGTCTAAGCTTGTTTGGAGCGAAGTTGTTTCGGCTGACAAAGTGCTCGTATCTACTTTCTGGATCTTGCGGCAACCCCAGGACAACGGGCTGACTGGGCATTGATAGTTCTCACTTATATCCCTATGGGTGGCCAAGATGATCATGCCTGTGTGACTTTCTGGGCTCTTGGCACGGAGCGAGTGTCTCTCTTCGGAGGTCACTTCATCCGCCAGACATGTTCGTCTGCTTGCATTCATGTGGATTGGCTCAATCTTGCTTACATACTTGGATTGAGTCATGATGATACTTTTGTCTGCTGTTGGTTCATCTCAACACCAGTGAACGTGAATTGACCTACTTTCTTTGATCCAAATGGGAATTTGGCTTCTAGCTTTGAGATTTGTTCTTCAAAGTATTGATCTCCTCCACCTAGTCCATCGTCAACGTGAACTCCTAGGACCCCCGAAATTTTGCTTTGTCCTGGTTTGTATAGTACGTACGCGCATGGGTCGAAGGGTGCTGGAACGAAGTTCAAAGCACGAAGGGTCCGATCCAATTCCTTATGCCACAAATAAGGAGCATCGATCAAACCGTAGGCTGATTTTTCGAGTTTGCAGATTTGATTGGGTTGAAGTTTCAATGCCTTTCGAAGTTCTTCAACAGGTTCCAGGCCTAGAACTCGATCTTCCTGCGTTTTGCCTTGCAAAAATGCAGCTTTGATATCGAAGCTCTTCAGAGTCCATCCCATGGATGATATTGCTTGCAACAAGAGCATTTTGGATTGCTTTCCAAGTGTCGGCGAGTCCCGGGGTATGCTGTCTAACTGGGGATCTTGATATCCAAGGACTACTAGACGTGCTTTCGGTTTATGGGTCTTTGGTCCTGGTCTGACGTTCTCAGTTGATCCGGATTGAAGGTCGTCAGCATCAAGGGGTTTCCATACGCATATCCAGCGGCAACGCATTACCTGTTCCGGACACAGCTGATCCCGAAAGATTTTACTCACCGTCCCTGTGTTTAACCAATTTGTGATCTCCTTGTCCTTTGCTTGACGGAAGAGAGCTTGTTCTTCGGTGGATAATTGGTGCATCTTTACTTCTGTTCGGTCACGCTTGGTGGTGGTAGTCATCATGATAAGATCTGTTGCTGGTGAGTTTTCATCCCATTTCATCATTGTTTCTTGGGGAAACAGGAATTCAGCTTTCCATCCTACGGCTTCTGAGTCTATTTGGGTTTGGCACCAGTTGACCTGATCTTCTACACTATAGGGAGTCACATACGAGTTCATCACTGAGATCGGATGCTTCGCTTGGGACCGGCACACTTGCTGCATCCTGATGACCGCCGGGGTCACTCGGCAATTCGATGCTTTGTCGGCTCGCTGGAGACACTTGACTCTCTGGAATCGAGGGCTCTTGATCTGGCTGGACCTCTGACGAATTCGATGTGTTTCCTGTTCCTACGTGTTGTGGGGTTATATTGCTATCTTCTTGGCTCTCTGGTGGAGTTGCGGGTGCTTGTTCACGAATGTTGGCATTTTGTGTATCTTCGCCTTCAATCCCTGCGATCGGACTTAGAGCTCGGGGGATATGCTGGGCTTCCATGGCACTTACGGGTCGAACATGTTCAGGGGCTATCTTTACCAAGCTTCCTGCGTGATTACACCAAAGACAATGGGGACCTTCTTGTTGGATGACTCTGGCTGGACCAAACCACCCCCGTTGGGTTGGAGTCTGTCTCCATAGCATCACCCAAGTTCCCCTGTCGTAGGATCCTCGGTGAGGACAGCTTCGCCGGAGAACAGCTCTTCGCAACGCAGAGCTGTTGTCTGCACAGTGAAAAGCTCGTCGTGCAGCTTCGCGGTACGCCAGCTTTTCTCGAAATCTGATTCCTTCCTGGGTGTCATCGTCTGCCAGGAGGTGCGATGGCAATTGCTCGTCCGATGAGATTGATGCCGGAATTCTGGACCCTTTTCCAAAAACAAGAGTTTCTGGGGAGTATCCCTGTTTCTGGCTCAGTGCATTCTTGGCAGAAGTGCAGTGCGATAGTGCTGTCTGCAGGTTGGTGTATGACGTTATTGGATGTTCCTGTTCATACTTCTTGAGCATTTCCTGTAGGATTCCACCATGTCTTTCTACTTTTCCGATTTGCCAGTGTGCACCTGGTGGGGTAACTATTGCTTTGGCCTAGAAAAGTGACAAATTCCTTGGATGTGAATTCCGTCCCTGAGTCTGTGTGAATCTCAATCGGAGCCCCTGCCCATTGGAGCCATCCATTGAGCGCCTTGTCTATTGCATCATCACTGCTTTTACCTGGGCTTGCACATGCTACCTGGTAGTTTGTTCCATAGTCGATGATGTGATAGAAGTGGAAGTTGGTTCCTGCCAGATTCGTGTATACAACACCATCTATCCCAATACAGTCGTTGAAGTCTAGCTCACGTTTGATTGTAGAAGGTCTTTGATGTTTAGGTTCCTTAGTATTCTGACATACGGAACAACTTAGGTCCATGGCAGCTTGACACAATCGGGGTGAGTACCCCTGTTGACGCAGCATTGAACACAGCTTTTGACCATGAGGGTGTCCTAGGTTCTGATGCAATTTCAGCAAGAACGATTTTTCTTCGGCTGATATGGTCTTGAACTTTGGGCCATGGTCAAAGCTCGGCATATGGAGTTGACTCGAAGTCGCTCCTGTCTCTTTGGTCTGATCCGGATCCAGCTCTGTGACAGGTGCTTGGTCACTACTTGGCAGGCTGACGGTTGCCTCCTGCGGCTCGATGCTTGTTCCCGTTGCCTCGGGACTCATATTCTGTTCGGTCGAATCACCTGATGCTTCTGACTTGGATTGGGGCAAACATGCATACATTGTGATATTGACTCTTGCGGGATGTGCTGGGCGGACTTGCTGCCGATGAGACAGGTCTTGCCAGTATTCCCAGTCTTTTTCTACTTGGATTACCCCCCCTATTCGGCTTACGATGATGGCACGACGATATGGGGCCTCATTCTTTACCAAATCCCTTGGCGGTGGCAATGTTCGATCTGATCCCTTACATGCTTGAACCTTCTTGATTTCTTTTTCGGGGAACATGTTTTGAAGCCTCTCCAAAATTTGGTGGTTTGTGATCAAAGTCTTCCCTACTCTTGGCAACATTGGTTGGATGTCCTTGATGATTTCTTCTAGTTGTCTCTGAGGTGACATGTTCATACTCTGCGATTCGGCCGTCTTGCCGTCAATGCGGCGGCGCTTGCACTCGTTCGACAATTGCTCCAGGGGTGTTGGTGGCAGTCGCCCACCTTGGGACTTCTGCGTGGGAGAACTCACACGGATCCGCTTGGATGCACTTTCCTCACTCGGTTGATCTATTCCTCTGGTTACAAGGGCAGTAACCCATGGCTCATGTTTCACTTTCAGCATCACCTTAGCTACTTGTCTGGCAAACTTTCTTGGATAGTTCTCTGTATAGCTACTGACGGTGATTCTCCCGAGAGGCGTTGTCACGGATCCGGCAATGGGTCTGTGCTCATGATCTCGACGACACACCCGGCCATGCAACGAGGCATACATCTCTTGCGATGTCGTTCTTACAGCCATCTCCTTTTGTATGAGTTTGTTCGTTTCTGGACATGTCAACTGGCCTACGCGACACACGTCGAAATTGGCTTCCTGAGTATATGAATACAGCTCTTGCAGGAGTGGGGTCTTGAACATGATGGATTTTCGTGGCTGCTCCCAGTGCATGTGGTTTCCTAGCTGACGTGACATGCGAAGCAAGACTACTCCTAGTGCAAGTTCGAACAAGTGTGACTCTCTCTCTCTCTCTCGTTGAACATGTTCACACAATTGGATTGATCTCATTTCATTGAACGTGTTCCATGCGCTCCATGGTCCACAGGTGGGACTGAACCATATGTGACGGGGTCTTTGTTTCCACACCATTTGAAACAGAACACTTCTCCCCTCCTTGGTTTTGAGGTCCCCCTGCGCCCTTCCAAAACGGTTGGCTCTGCCGCCCAGCAATTGGACTTGCTTCGTCAGTTCACTGGCCTCATGACAAAACACTTCCAGCAAATGTAGACGGCTGCATCTGTTCGAGATCACTGGATCACACCTTGCTAGACTGGCTTCCTTTGAGATTTGCTGAACCAGTGCGTGGAATTTATGAGACAGACTGTGAGTCTTACCTGGACTGACATCTTTTTGGCGCATGGACGATACACGTATATCAGCTTCCTCGAAGGAGTCTAGCCATGACGAGCTCATGAAGCCCGGAGGTGGGCAATGATCTCCTGCATCGCACCTTCGATGGTCTGAAGGCGGGTGTCCATGGCTGCCATCTCCGTGTAGATCTCTGGCTGGATCTCGATCTCCTGAACTGGTTCCCAGGGTTCGTCCTCGGCAAGATCTGCCAAGTCCTGCGGGTTCACTTCCTGAATCGGCTTGGCCTTGGCCTTGCTCTTGAGAGCCGGATGAAGTGGCCTCTGACTTGGTGATGGCTGCAGGTCTTGACTGTTCAGACCCAGTTGGTGCTCGGCATAGGTCACCCTCAGTGAGATGTAGTGGATGAACTTCTGATGGTTGACCTTGTTCGACGAGTGGTAACTTGCCTGGAACCACTTCACATACTTGCCCTCCTTTTCCCATATCTCCGAGTAGGTCCGACCGAGATGGGCTGATCCGAAATCGATCTTGGATTGGCCCATTTCGTCCAGTGATAGGAGCTTGAAGGCTTCGAGCTGATCGAGGGCTTCTTCCTTCTTTGCTTCCCCCATGACACGTGCCAAGCGGGCACTCAGAGCGGCTGCTTCGGAGGTCGGCATGATAGTGATGCGGCACAGGTGACCGAATGGGATGATCACACGTGTGTGATTGCACAGATCCGGTCTTGAACCCAAAACGGATGACACCGGGCTGGACCCCCCCTGGAACCGATTCGAATGAGACTTTCTCACCCCCGCGAACACTCGGACGATCGTTTGGTTTCTTTGTGTTCGTATGGGTCTTTGTTGACTCGGGCACGGCGGCTTCGAACTGTTGGATTCTGCTTGTTACAAGACCTGTCCTCACCTGAACGTTCTGTTTCATCATGGTCTTGGTTTCCGACTGCACTTGTCCAGGCTTCTGGACAGAGACACTTGGCAAGCTTTTGCAATTCAAAGTGGCGAAGGTCTCGGCAGGTTCAGCTTCGGCATCTTGACTGGTGGGTGTGATCAGATCATTTAGATCAACTAAAAACAAACCCTTGACATTCAGCTGAATTGGAATATTGCGCTTCAAGAGAGTGCTTTTGATCACTTCACCAGCTATATCTACGGTGGCTCCGATGGCTCGGAGCAGAGTATTCGACAGCAGGAAAGGTGTATGGCCTGGCACTATGGCAATCTTGAGCTTCAGCGGTCCGATTGGGACAACGAGTGCACGCTTGCTTTCAAGTGTCCCTTGATTCCCAAACCGAAAAACCACTGAACAACGACACCTTTGGACCTGCTTCCGAACCTCTGGCCTTAGTGCGGCTAGGAGATAACCGCTTCCTATGACGGTCTTAGTAGCACCTGCATCTACGATTCCCAGGGCATCGCGAGTTGAAAAGCTCGAGAATGCACTGGCTTCGGTGTCATGCGTCGACTTGGCTTCAGGTGATTGGGCGGTGCTAGCAAACGCACTCTCTGGCAAGCTAGTCCTGACATCAAAATTCTCACACTCGGTGTTCATTGGTCTCCCACAAACCTCAGAACACCGGTGTCCCTTGATTCACAAACACACAAAACTTGTTTCGTATTCTCTTGAGTGGTGTTGAGCGTCTCTTTGGTCAGCTCTGGCAAATCCATGAACTCCAGTGGCAGCGCGTCCTGCTCATCATTCACTGTCACCAGTGTAGGAGCAACAGCTGTCGATGGGACCGACTGAGATCCCCGTTGCAGGCATTCAGCCTTCCAATGGCCTTTTCGGCCACAAATCCTGCAGCTGCTCTCCATGATCCTCTGCTGGAGGCTCTTTCTATTGCCAGAAAACTTTGAGGAGTAGGGGGGTCGCTTTCCTTTTTCACCCCCTTTCCCTTTTCCTTTGCCTTTGTTCTGACTTGTTGGCCAGAACCCACGGCTTTTGAAGCGCTCTGACAGGCGGCGACGGGCATCCATGTATGATGATTGTGTCAATGCTAGATCTTCGTTGTCTTGCGCTGCATCCAACATTGTGGATTCATACTCCATGATCATGGCGGCGTCCTCGTCACCATCATTTGCAAGACTCTCAATCCATTCTTCCTCGGTCCAATCATCGAGATTGTAGGTGGGCTCGTCGGGCGCTTGGTCGTGACCATCAGCTTCTTGGGCAATGAACGCATTGGCCTCATAGGTTTTGGTCCTTGGATTGTTCTGCTTTCCGCTGGAGTGGACCTCATGGAAGAATCGACTCCCCCGGAGCTTCAGATTGGATACCACCTCTCTGTACTCCAGTGAACCCTGCGATTCAACAATCAGTCTCTTCTTGTCTTCTGAGCTCAGGGCTGAGTTGCGAAGCAAGATGTATGCACGAAACTCATCCACGCCGACCTTCATGCTCAGCAACTCTTCGAATTGATGATCGTGCCGAGCTAGATAGCTCTCATGGGTCTCGTCGGCTCTTTGGACTGTGCTGTAGATTGCACGCTCAAACCTTTCAAACTTGTCCTCCAATCGGGATTTTCCCCAAATCCCTCAAGGGCCTCCACGATGGCCTTCACTCCCTCCAAGTTTCCAACACGCAGCTTCTTTGGGTCCAGTCTGGCAACTCTCTGAAAGGCTGATCCCTCACATTGCAATGCAACTCGTGGGGCAAGCAGGTGTAGTTGCTCTGGAGGCCATAGTGATGCCAGGAACTCTACTTTCCGTGACCATTCAGTGAGGTCCGTCTCACCACGCTTGAAAGATGGAACCTGGCTCCATGGGAGATTGCTCAAACCTCCTGTGGAGGAACTGGAGCCAGCTGAATCACCTTCCGGTGGCATTGGGCTGTTTCCTCCCTGGAAACCGCAGCTCAACAACTCTGTGACAACACCACCAAGACAATGCGCAACCTGTCGACTGCCTTGCGGCCAAACAACGTATTCACCGACTCAACCACGCAGTCAACAACAACCAAGCACAAGGGTCAGGTGTTGTCTGGAGCTTTAGCAGTAGCTCCGCTACCAATGTGATTGACACAAAGGTAGCAACAAAAGATCCTCCTCCCCTCGCACAGCCGCGTGCGTTTTCCACTCACAGCTCACCTGAAGGTTGGTACGAACGGTCGGGCGCCTCGCCCTGCAGTGTCCTCACTGCTTCTATGGCTCAGGTCACGGGTGGCCCACCCTACACCACCCTTGCGGCCTCGCACACTCGTGGCTTCGGACGTGAACACACCTGAGTGGGTCAAGACTGGTTCCTCAGTGACCGAAAGGTTCGAAATTCACAATAAATATATATTATATATATATATATTGTAAATAAAGCAAGAGTGATTATGAAACACACGCGGTCACATGCGCATTAGAGAAGAAAGAGAAGAAAGAGAGGCTCGGCCAACATCAAATGCTGTTGGGGAACAAGTCATCTGGTACGATGCTGCACGCATTCCGTTGGTCCACATCTCAGATGGGGTGCAAGCTGCTGAGCTATTGTGAGGCTTTGCATCAAAGATATTGAATTCAAACATTAAAAAACAAAACAAATCAACAACATGTTTGACACCAGCTTCTGCCTCCACTGATGTCAAAATCAACGACCTCTGCAATCAAGACCGTAGGATGCTCCGGGCAAACCTTGCAACACGGGTGTTGGATGGACCAAGAAGTTCCAGAGTTGTAAGAAGCGGACTGTTTTGAGATGAATGATGGTGTCCAGAACAGAATGGCTCGAAACCACCGCATCTGGGCTGGCCTCAAAGCAAGTCGAATGTGTTCCCAAACCCTAGGTGTCGTGCGCCGGTCGGTTTGACCTCTTTCACGGAAGGCTTCATCTCAAAGGAGACGCGGGTTGCAGTTTCACCATACCTCCATTGTCAGGTCAGATGTTCGCACAGCTACACGTGTTGCAATAGAATGGCCACCATCTGACATCGCAGTGCCCAATTTGCGGCCTGGGCAAACACCATGGTCGGATGGGAGCTAATGCGTCAAGGCGTGTGAAGAAAACTGGAAGAAAACGTTTAGAATCCCTTTCAATTTACTAGTAGCTTCTTGTTACTACTAGTAATGGTCTCCGCCCTAGAAGCTTCTTGTTCCTAGTACTACTCTTGAAATCCCTTTCACTTGATTTTGTTTTTTGGTTGACACTGAGAAGTCCACCACAAGCTCACCGTCTCCCCAACATCGTCTTTGGCCTGGCAGCAAAGCAAGGCTATTTCTGCTGGCAAAAACTCAGGGCAGGTGAGCTGAGTGAGCTGCCGGGGAGTCGGAGTATACGAAATAGGACTGCTGAGCTATTGCCTGCGATCTTTGTGCAACACTTTCTGGATCTGTTTGGTTCGGGTCGAGGATTCAAACTGCAATCGCAGTGGTGTTTTTGAGACAAATTGATTGCCTTCCGGGTTGAGGAATACACAAGCCGCTGCAGCAAAGTTCTCAACATGGGATCATCAGCCTCGAGGCATATTCGCAAGAAAACAGCCAAGCAAAAAGTTTTAGAAACCCCAACCACGACCAGAAACTGCACGTTTGCAAGAGCGTGCTGCAGAGAACCCGGGGGCAACAATCAAAACCTGCACAGAGATTCTGGAAATGAACCGGAACCGCGAGCCGAACCGCGACGAACCGGAACCGCCAAGCACCAAAAGCGAACCAGGCCCCCAACGAACAGGAGTCGAAGCCCCAGACCGAACCCAGAACAGGTACAGGAACCTGACAAAGTCATCCCTTAGTCAGTTTCCAAGAAGTCATCCCCCAGTCACCCCCGGGAGCAATGGAACGCTGATACCCAAACAAGGTTTGTCACCAAAAAAGTCGACCCAAAGAGTGCAAGGACCAATGGAACGCTAGTTCTGACAGAGTGTGGGTTTGATTGATTTACATCCGCATTGCTGCAGCAGGCGTAATTAACCCCTTATGAGTTGCCAGTACAGCGTTAAAACACCTTTTCATGAGAGCCCCATGCAGCATACAACCTAAAAGACGGTCCCTTTCCAACCAACAGAGTTCGCTTGCGTTTGGGAAAAAGATACAACTTTCCGCAGAGCATTCCCCCCAAGGGAGGGTAACAATACTTCAAAAGTGATGACATTGTCTTTTGCCTGTGATGCCCCCTGTAAAGAGCAAGTCAGTGTCACGGGCAGGACACCAAGGAGCAGCCAGAATGCTACAAAAGTCCACCAAAACGAAATTAGCGCCACGGAAAGGCCACCAAACCACACAGCCCAACGGGCGTATTGATTTTGATCTTTTAGGGCCTCGAAAAAACAAAATGCATGGGCGATAGCAAAAATGTTTTGTAGCTGCCATTGGAGACTCGAAGGCAATTTTGCTTCTGGCAACGCCTGCACATTGCAAATAACCTATTTCCGTTGGGTTAGCCTTAGAAACACACACAAAGTTGCAAGAGTGTGTAAATTCAGTGTAAGCCAGGAATGCAAGGGTTGCATTTCTCTCTGAGAAACCTCGAGATCTGAATTAGTCAGCAGGGGTGAATGCGAGAGCGCAGAGGAAGCTTTGCGACGCACAAGGCGGGGCCGACATGATAGGCTTTCAGTCACAGGTGGGGGGGGGCCAGGCGCTTTTGTTCTTGTGGATGAAGGGGCGTTTGGACAAGAGAAAAGGGCACCTCAACGTCAGTTAGAGCCAAGATCAAGTGAGCGTGTCACATCGGGCAAAGGAAATCTCCTCGGAGGGGCCACCTGACTCTCCGCTCGCGCCCGTGACACTTGGAGGACGATCCCAGACTCAGACTCACCACAGCCAAGGCGCCGGCAAACTCTCAGAAAGACGCGCGACCAAGGTTTCCAAAAAGTCCGCGATACCCAGCGTCGATCCATCCGCCCCAGCACGCCCCATCAGACCCGCACGGCTCCGGCGCTCGAGCTCTAACGGAGCAAGGAAGAAACGAGATTCCATAGCTTAGCTAAGGTAATTACACCAAACAGCACTTGTCTACAACCTGCTCGATGGGCCGTGTTGCCCCTTTCGTGGCAACTCACCCAGAGGTGAGCGACACACTTCTCGCTTCCGAGGAAACCTCCCCCGCGACGCCCCTCCTCCCCATGAACTCCCACCCTACGTAAAACGTCTTGTCGCTTCTGGTCAACAGGCCTTTAAACCATAGAGAAAGGGCGCCCCCAAGAGTCGACAGCCACAAGAAGGACTCGTATTAAATTAGCCACAAGAAAACAGAGGTTGGAAGACGCGCATCTCCCTTGTCCGGGAGACTTCCAACCACTTTTCACATCCCGTTGTTTCCCAATACATACACCCCCACCCCAGCTACCAGACCGCTTAAATGGCCTCTGGAGCACACATGTCCCTTGCCCTTCTCGCTTCCCTCGTTAGCTCCACACCTCTCACATCCTCCCCCGCTACGCCTACCCTCCACATGAATACTTTTCCTACCACGCCCTCCTCCGCTACGCCTGTCTTCCACATGAACTCCCACCCCATATGGCGTGCCCTTTTGCGCCTGGCTACTATGCCGCTCACAAAGCTAGCCCACCGCGTTCTGTTCCCTCTCCTGCCCTCAACGGATCTCATCATTCCTTGCAATCCCTTCCTCACGCATTCTGTTCCCTCTCCTGCCCTCACAGATTACATCCTTTCCACCAGACAACAGAGTCTTGAGAGACACACACCTCTCTTTCACTCTGGTCGAACATTTTCAATGGCCACTAGAGACGCGCAGCTCCCTTTCCTCGATCCGGTCCAACCACTTTTCGGGCCCGCTATCAACCTTTTCCTATCATGGCCTCCTAATCCCCTCATGGTGCTAACGATGCACTCTTCGCCGTCAATTACATCGCTTGCGTCACAACACCCCCAAAACCATCAATCCCATTCTGCCCACCGTTTTTTTCGCTCTCTCCCACCAGGCGCTGGGCTCGCCCTCCGAAATTGCCCTCTGGGGGACCACCCCTCCGCACACCCCCTAATACTCACTCCGTTCGCCCATCGACAACTCCAGTCTAGCCTATCGGCTGGCTTTCGTAATTAAACTAATTCTTTCATTTTTGTCCAATCAAACCTCAAAACCACCAGCCCCAGGAACCGCCGTAAAACACACACAGAAACCGCGAACCGACGACGCACACACACACACACACACACACTTGAGATTTTGTGTACGGACGCTGATGCGGTTTGCCACACGCCGGCCTAAGTGAAAAACCTAAGAAACCAGGGCGGGTACAAAGTTCCAACGTCTCCAAAGATCAAAATCTCCAGGTTCTTGAAGCCTCCGAAAGCAAAAACTTTAAAGCTCAAAGCTGCGACAGGCCACCCTTCGGGGCCACCCTGGGCTCTCACTAAGGAGAGACACACTTATAGAAATGCGCACACGCCAACCTGAGTACCCAATCCCTGAAAAGGTCAAGTAAACCTACGGAGCCTGGAGCTCTTCAAGAGGAAGCAGGGCCACAAGCTCAATAAAAGCTTAAAAGAGGACTGCAGAAAAGGCTTAAAATTGAAAGGCAGGTACGTATGAGGCACCCCAAGGCATCCTGATCCCCTGCTGTAAAAATCAAGTTGAGCGCTTCCCTAAATCCAGGCTGTAAATGGTCAATGCAGAATCGCGTTTTGGTAAGCCACGGGCAATGACTTCCCTTTGACTCGTTCGGTCAAGCTCCCTCAAGCAAATGATTTGCCGCTTCCGCTCTGACAACGGTGTTCCCAGCTACGACTCAAGCGTCCAAGGACACAACCGACAAGATAAGGAGAGAGAGAGAGAGAGAGAGCGAGAGAGGTGCTCCCAGGTACGAAACAAGCGTCCAGGGACACACCAAAAAAGAGAGGGGTACCTGAGTGTTGCATCCAGGAACACCGCCCTCCCCCCCCAAAAAAAAGCAAAGAAGAGGGGAGAGGGAAAGGGGCCGCTGCTGGCTGCTCTGATCGCTGTGGTCACCTAATGGCTTGTCCGAAGACTGCCTATACTTGGAATTCAATTACGCGTCAGGTCTTGGCAAGTAATTTTGGCGTGAGCGAGCTGCTCTGTATCCGGGCAGGGGATACGTTCGACAAACCCCCGTTCGATGGGTCCACAGGGGGCACTCTTCGGGCTCACCCTGGGCTGACTCTGAGGTCAGACACACTTGAGATTTTGTGTACGGACGCTGATGCGGTTTGCCACACGCCCGCCTAAATGAAAAACCTAAGAAGCCAGGGTGGGTACAAAGTTCCAAAGTCTCCAGATTCTTGAAGCCTCCAAAATCAAAAACTTTAAAGCTCAAAGCTGCGACGGGCCACTCTTCGGGGTCACCCTGGGCTCTCACTAACGAGAGACACACTTATAGAAATGCGTACTGATGTGAGTACCCAATTCCTGAAAAGGTCAAGTAAACCTACGGAGCCTGGAGGTCTTCAAGAGGAAGCAGGGCCACAAGCTCAATAAAGGCTTAAAAGAGGACTGCAGAAAAGGCTTCAAATTGAAAGGCAGGTACGTCAGTGCTGGCCGGGCACTGATATCACATCCACTTGGTGCGGTCTTTCTTAGATGAGGCACACCAAGGGATCCTGATCCCCCTGCTGTAAAAATCAAGTTGAGTGCTTCCCTAAATCCAGGCTGTAAATGGTCAATGCAGAATCGCGTTTTGGTAAGCCACAGGCAGTGACTTCCCTTTGACTCGTTCGGTCAAGCTCCCTCAAGCAAATGATTTGCCGCTTCCGCTCTCGCACAGCGGCCGCGGCGGCCCCCTGGTGAAACAATAAAAACGTAAAGAAATCTCTAATCCAAAAGGATCCCTGTGACTCCAAGGGGTACACACACACACTGACACACACACACGGAAAAAACGAACAGAACCGAATCGCCGGATCCCAAACCGACCACCAAACCGGAACCGCCCGAACCGTGTGCTCCACAAATCGAAACGAACCGGTTCCACCCTGACAAAGGCCAAACCTATTCGACCCTGAAGAGTCAGCGCAACCAAAGGTAAAGCTGCAAGCATCTTCGTGCCTGCTTTTTCAGGGCAAGGAACACCTGTCAGAAGTCAAGTCCACAAGTACATCCTCCTATACATTCCTGGTTTTAGTGGCACCTCAGGTCGCCAAGGAACCTGGCATGGTAGTGCACACAGCCGTTTCAGCACCTATAAGACTCCCCACAAGTTCTAAGTAACATTTATATACATACGTTTCCTGTAAATTCATGTAAATGTTGCAATTAATAGGATACTTGCTACAGTGTAACCTGCTTTAGCGTTGTGGATCCAACATGCTGCGCTCTCCCTTGTCACGTGTTAAAGAAGGGCAGCTTGACCCGGCGAAGTGTCACTGCCATTTGACTGGATGCCATGGCATTGAAGGCTGTGGTCCTAGCATCCACAGCAAACTCCGTGTAAAGCACTGCTGCAGGTCAAGGCTGCATGTTTGATGTAATTATGTTGTTCAATGGATTCAGAAAAGCACTCCAAATAATTGATATCTAGCCTCAAAGCCATTGAGACTGCCTGGCAATGGAGCACGGATGGAAATGAAACAGCAAGGCCAATAATACAGCACCGCCGCCTCATTTGTTGTGGTTCCGCAAGGCTTAAACATTTTGATTGCGCACTACATGATGAAAAGGAACTCCATCTGATATCTGATCAGAGCCCTCCATGCAAGGAACTCATCAGGTGAAAGCCTGTTCGCGTATGTTCCTCTCCTCAGTCATATCTTGCTCCATAGCCTTCCGAAAGCATGATACTGTAAGTTGCACACCCCCTTAGAGGGCAAATCTTGATTTCTAAATCTTGACAAAATCTGTTGGAAACAATCATGGCATAAGTACAGTACGTCAGACTAAGACGTGAGACTATCTCGCAAGCCTGGTCCTGTTCATGCAGGTGCTGCACATACCTCCATTGCGCATCATTTTGAGACATAAGCGCTCAAAGCGCCATTCCCAACCCCAAAAGCAAACCTCGATGAAGCAATGATGCAACCAGGCTGGCGACTGTGCCTTTCAGCAGGACTAAATGTCGTTACTCCATCCTGCCAGGACTCGCTGAGGGCAGAACTCACACGCTAAATCACTCTTGATATGATGCTGCAACAAAGTGCTCCTGCTCCTCATCTCCCTCAAGGAAGCCTACACACAATGTTCGCTTGAGCACTTCAAAGAGATGTGAAATGATACGGCCGTCGAGTGTCACTGCTGACAAGACGACCCGCCTTCGAACTCTAGAATAGCTTCCTCTGATTCAGACCTGCGTGACAGCCTGCAACGCTTTAATGTTGTTTCACTCCCGAAACACCCGCTCCATCACAAATGTCCAGCTGCTTTGTCTTTATTTAAGGGTGGATGCGCCATGAATCCCAGAACCTTTAACACTCTACTGATCTCTACTGCTTCGTGGTAATTAGAACTCCCCAAGAACAAGCTGGTTTGCCTTGAATCACAGCCCAATCCAAAGCTCCTCCATTCCTTCCTAGATGCAAAGTTTGTCCACTGAAGGTCCGTGTGCAAAACTGGCACTTGCAAATCGGCAGCTTGATTTGCGCGCAGAGTCAGAAACGCCCCTGGCATACTTTGGTGATAATTGATATTTATTCTTCCAATAACAGAGTACAAACTCACTGTCAATCTATGCATGGATCTCACTGTGCTTGCAGTGTATCATCTGCCTTAGGCAATTGGAGTGTGGACTTGCGCCAAGGAGCTTGCCTACACATGCTCTTCTGCAACCTTACGTGATGCAGTTTTTCTTAAGCAAAGTTCGGCGGGAGCTGCATTGAGTGAGTGACTTGCCATATTCATCCATATTCATAGAAGAAAAGAAGTGCAACTTGGGGATCTATGCAGCGCATGTCCATGGCAGGGCCTATAGCATGCAAGACAGAGATTATTTAGATTGTGTTCGCGGAAGTTCGACTATCATTTGTTCCCATGCTGGTAAAGTGGTGAAAGAGTGCCGCACGTTCGGTCGCACTGCACGCCTATGCTTGGAGCCAGTAACAGGTGCAGTTTGCGGCCGGTCATCAACACGGTCCTTTGGGTGAAAGGACGACTCAAAGTCAAAAAACGACTCGGTGAAGATCAAGATTGAAGAAACGTGAATAAAACGTGGCAAGTCCCGCCTCTTTACCAGCCTGGGGGTGATGTGGTCCTCTTGCAAATTGACATTGCTCTCGCAAACTGACGAATCTTCTTGTGGTTCTTCTCGTTTCTTCTTATTATCTAGAAACAAGTGCATCACTACTAGCAATAAGTGCATTATCACTAGTAACAAGAAGCTATTAGTAGCTTCTTCTTCCTCTTTTTGTTTAGCTATCTTTAATCGCAAGCCTCGGACTAGCAACACCCTAGGGTTCTAGAAACGGGTAGTGACCTCCAGTGACGTCCATTTAAGAACTGAAGCACGGGGTCCATGTCTTTCAGTGTCTTCCTGATTAGCACATGACTCATGACTGTTCGTCGTCTTTGAATGTCAAGATCTTTGATTTCTCTCCTTCGCGTGTGAAGTGTTTCTTTGCCTTGCCAACGACAACTTACTAACATCGCGCACTCGTAAATCTTCACCAAAGCAATGCACCGCTGTTGCACCAAAAAACTCCCTAACGCCCCGTCAGTTTCTTGTCTTTATGCAAATTTTATGCCATTGTGCACCTCTCTTGTTGCTGGGGCTGTTGATGGGCGATCAAATTCCTCCTGCCAAGATGATGTGACCAAAGCAAACTGGGAATCGCAAGAAATACCTCCATTCACGTACACCGCCTGTGATTCAATTTCTGAACATTCTAAAAATGCGCCTTTGGGACTTTCTGCCCAAACCTTGCAGAGTCCGGACCTCAGAACACTTGCAGTGCAGAAGTGCGAAGCTGAATAAGTCAGTTTGTTTGTTCAACGGGTTTCCTCTCTTAGTCCCTCACGAAGGGAGCGAAAAACACCTTCTTGTAACCGCAAGGCGCCAGACTGGGAAGAATGTTCAATGTCAACTGTGTCCATGCGGTAAACTTGCAGAACATCTGAAATACTTGCCGAATTTCAGCAGCTTACTATTGTAGAATGAGATGTATGTTTGTTGCATATGTTGCATCTGCTTTAGAAAACATGCTGTCTGTTGCCTTATGAGGCTACGTGAACTCTTTGACACCCCAAGCACCACTGACTCCAAGTTCCCCGTCCTGCCGGCCATCTGCAGGAAGCACCAAGTCTGGTGGGACACCAGAATACACGCCTACTGCGCCATACCTCGGCTGGATAGTCCGCTTGACCAAACACAGAAACGTCCGCACGGATTGGAAGCCTTACCCTACTTTGCAGGTTCCATTGGTAAACGCAGTGTTTTGTCACGCGCTTTGCCTAAATAAAACTAGACGACGAGTGGCCCGAAAGCATTTTTCATCACGTGTGAAGTTAGAGTGTGAGTTATGTGTTAAGTGTTCAGTGTGAAGTGTTAAGTCGAGTGTGTTGAGGCAGTGTGTGGGTCTCTGTGTGTGTATCTATGTCTGTGTGTGTGTCCACCCCTGTGCCGAAGGGTTCGCCACCACCTTCACCTTTACCACAGTTTCACAAGC